CATTCTTCTGTTAAAATGGCATTATATGATATATTGTGTCATATCATTTTTTTTCCTCTGTAGTAGTTAGATCTATCTTTGTTGGTCAGCAAATTTTTACCCATGTCAACTAAAATATTCAGGGTTTTTCTGTAGAATTTGCTGTTGGGTTTCTTGTCTTTTCCTTTTCTTTTTAAACCAACTTCTAGGAGTTTTTCATTAATAAAGATGTTAAACAGTATAGGGCGATTAAAAACCTGTTTGCAAATTAGTGTCTTATTAATTAATTAATATTTTGAGGCACAGTTTTTTCTACAAATTCATTTAATTGTACTATCATTCCAGATTTTGTTATTCTATAAGATTGTTATGAAAATTAGTATGTGATTGCCTTACTGAAATCAAGGTAACCCTTTTTTCCCCCTAGTCTACTAACCCTATGTTAGGAGTAAATTAAAAAAGCCTAGCTTGTCATGTATTATTCTTAATGAGCTTATTCTTGCATCTCATTGTTACTTCCTTCTTATCTACATTGTCACTGCACCATCTTCTTGATAATCTAAAATTTTACTAAGTATAGATACAATGCTTATGTTCAGTATCTTAAAAACAGCATCATTGTCCTTTTTTAAATTTGGGTAGAGGTTGGCAGCTAAAGTTTATTGCATATTAGGTGTTTTATATCCAGTATCTCCTTAATCTTTAAACCATCTTATAATATTTTATAGAAGAGAAAAACTGAGGCTTGGTGACTTTAGGTAACTTATACAGTGTCAATAATAAATCACAACAATTAGTTTTCTCAGGTAAAAAATAACAATAAATAAACAGGTAAATAATAACTAACAGTTATTGAGTGGTTACTATGCTCTGCACTGTTGTCAGTGCTTTAAATGTAATAACTTCTTTAAGCCTTAGAAACCATATGAAGTGGGTGCTATCATTATATTACAGATGAAGCTGAGGCACAGGGTGATTAAATAACTTGTGCAAGGTTACTAAGCTTTCAGTTGCAATACTGGAATTGAAATCCACGTACTGTTTTCAGAGCCTATACTCTTAACCATTATGCACTACTGCTTTAATGAGCGTCAGTGCTGGGATTTAAACCTAGGTACATTTGACTGTGATACCTGTGCTCTTTCTCCTGTACCATTTTGTTCCAGAGTAGCTAAATGTTGACTTTGTAGCATTTCCTATCTTCTGTAGGGATTGAATGGGATTGGAAATTATTCTTGATGAAAGTAAATAGGAGTTGAGTCTTCCAATTCTATCCACTTTGTCGTTTGTTTATAGTCTATTATCATCAGCTCAAAGCTTGAAACTTATTCTTTTTAGAGGAAGTTTTTCCCCCTAGTATTTTTTGCATATATCATTATCCTCCATCTTTAGTCTTTTTGACTGGATGGTAGACTACTTCTCTTATTTCCACAAGTGCCATTTCAAAACCAAGTTAGTTAGACAATTCCTTTTGTTGCCACTTTGGTTTCTTTGGAACTCTTCTTTTTTCTTTTGGACTTTTAAAGTTTATATAGCTAGGGCTGAACTCTTAGATAAGCTTTTTTGCTTTCTCTTTTGAGCTCTGCCCCTTCTAAGATATCTGACATTGTTTTCATGCCTGTCTCATGAGTCTGGCTGTTTGAAACTTGCTCTTCTTATATCAGCCTACTTTTTTTTCTCTTCTTTTACTATCATGATTGCTAGGACCAATGGCTACTGCTGTTCTTGTCATTTTACTATAACTGACAATCTGTATATATTGTCATTTTTATGTTACTAATAAGTTTTAGTCTGTGTTTTAGTCCTAACTGCATAAATTAGCCATGAGAGTATTTAGGTAATCTAAACATAGGTTGTTCATTTATGAATATAAAGGGTGTGTTTTAGTTTGCTAGGGCTGCCATAACAAAATACCACAAACTGGGTCGCTTAAATAATAGAAATTTATTTTCTCACAGTTCTGGAAGCTAGAAGTCCCAAGATCAAGATGTCAGCAGGTTGGTTTCTTCTGAGGCCTCTCTCCTTGATTTGCAGATGATCACCTTCTTGCTGTGTCCTCAGTTGCTCTACATTCTGTATGTTGTCTGTCTTAATCTCTTCTTGTAAGGACACCAGTTGTATTTGGATTAGAGCCCACACTTACGACTCCATGTTAACATAATTACCTCTCTAAAGGCCCCATCTCCAAATATGGTTACATTCTGAGGTTCTGGGGGTTGGGGCTTTAAATGAATTTTGGAAGACACAGTTCAGCTCATAACAGGGTGAATGAAATCTCTGGCCTCTTTCAAATCCAGATTTTATGATTCAAAGATTTACCACTTCTCAAATTTTAGAATTATTAAATTGTCAGCAGAAGCTCTCAGGAATTGTTCACATGCAGCCACTCTGCTTTTAGCATAAGATTTCTGATATATATTTGAAGTGAAGGCCTCACAACTAAAATATATTTGCTTTATACCAGAAATCTACACCTTTCTAGAGTTTTCTCATAATAAAACGATCTTTTTCTCTGTTCTTATCTAAATATTTTCACTAATGAAATAGTGAAATCCTTACCATCAGTGCTCTCAAATCTTTTAACTATGACCTGCAGACAGAAATACATTCATACATATGCAACAAAACTCACCATTAATATGTATGAGGTGCTATGATTTTTCTTTTTCAGCCTGTTTTTCTTTTTTAGCCTGTTTTTTTCTTATTCTCTTTTTAAAGGTGATTCTAATACTTTAAATTGATTTTATAATCCACTGATGGGTTGTACCCCTTAGTTTGAATAAATGTGATTAAATGAAAACTATTCTAACTCTTTAATCTTTGTATTACAAAACCTCATAGTTTTATTTGGGAATTTTCTTCCCTCCTACCAAAATAAAATTCCAGTTGTTCGTGTAAATGTCTCTCCAGATGTGTTCTTTAGCAACTAGATTCATGAAATAGTTTACCCTTCAGACTGGCGGGATGAATTGAATGGAGGAAAAGATAGCTTGTTTGAATTCATTCATATTCACATTCTCTCCCTCCCTTTATACACACACACACACACACAAACCTACATGCATGCATTTATTCACATTTTTCTTTGCTTTGTCTGCTGAACTATGTGTATCTAGCATCCACATCTTACTTTCTAAATACTCCTTCACTAAAAGGAACTAGGGCTTCTTGAAGAAATGTCCCATTCTAGGGTTTGGGTAGTAACAGAATATAACTTTCAGACATGCGACCTTAATAAATATATAAATAAATGAGTGAATGATTGAATGAGAGAAGAAAAAGTTCTTCCTCCTCTTCACCCTCCACCCCAGATATCCAGTTAGTCAACATTTATTAGAGACTTTCCATTCCACATTAGATTAATTTATATCTTGCTTGAAAGTCAAAGACTGTATGTATTGATCTGTTGAAATGTGTTCTGCTCCATTGATCTATATATCTTATCTTTATACCCATACTACAC